GGTTCTTTTTCATTTACAAGCCGTTTTTAACCTCTGATAATGCCTCTGACACATGCACAGATTGGCAGTAGATTTTCTCATTTTGTTGCTTTATTTCAAAGCAACAAAATAATTTGTGCAAAACTCATAATTTAGCACAAATTCTGAATTTGTGCAAAATTCATAATTCACAAAAAACTACAAAGCTGGTTTTTGGCAATAGGTGTGTTTGGTGTCTGTAAAATAAAATCTTTCAAAAACCTCCAGGATGAAATGTCACAAATAAGCAGGCACTGCCCATTACCTGGCAACCCCAGCAAAGCCCAGCATGTTTGGTCAGCTGGTTTTCCCACTGTATGTGTTGTACAATGGCTGGTGGAAAAGACACGCGTTTTTGTTGTTGACTTACCATCCAGAAACCACTTGCTGCATTCTTGTTGGTTGTGCAGGAGGATCCACTTCTGCTTTTCAAAGATGCACAGTAGCATTACTGTGTTTCTGTTTGCAACAATTTTCATGTGCAAGTGAAAACGTTGAGTTGGGGGGCGTAGCCAGCGGCAGATCATTTGGATTTAAAGTGACAAGATGTTCAAAATAGGCAGACCTGAGCAGGTTTCATTGTCTAAAAATTATTTTGTGCAATGAACATGTTTTGTGTAGGCTGAACACGGATCCTAACCTGTTCAAGGAAGCATTTTTTTCCAGATTACACCGTCTAGTCAGATATGCCTTAAGAAGAGCTGTACTATTAATTTCATTGTACTATTTACTGGACAATGACAATAAATCTAATCTAATCTAATAATGGTTAAAATTTTTATGCTAACCTTCTCCCACGCCTTCTGTTTCAGGGTGTGTCACAGACAAACAGCGGGATTGGCATAATACCAGCCAACACTCAGCTGCAGACAATGCTGTCTGTCAGAGCAGCTACGGAGGCCCAGAAGGCTCATGTAGAGCTTAGCATCTCAACTCCAAATGGTTGCTCCTTCTCACACTCCATGCATGTTAAACATCTGTGTTCTCAGCGAATCTGCTAGAATTACTCTGTGTGACGTTTTCTCTCCAGAAACAATCATCCGTGCGGTTCTCATTTTTGCTGAGGGAATATTTGAGGGCGAGAGTCACGTTGTCCATCCAAGTGTCCAGAACCTGTCGGGCTGCATCCGAGTCCCCATCATCCCCCCTAAAGACATGCCAGTGGATCTGCACATCAAGGCCTTTGTTGGAGGGAGGACCAGGTGGGACATGTAAAACAGCTTGAGTTAAACTCTCCATAATGTCGAGAAAATGCTGAAAATCACAGTCCTTTAATGAGTCATTGTAACGTTTTGCTTTCTGAATCATCCCCTCTGCAGCACTCAGTTCCACGTGTTTGAAATCACTCGCCAGCTGCCGCGTTTCTCCATGTATGAGATCACAGAGGACTCGCCTGCTGCTTCTGCTGGAACAGTTTCCTTCAGCATCAACGAGCGACCGCAGAGGGTGGGAGGGAAGGAGGACAAAATAAAAAACCATTCTGATTGGGTCCAGGAGGCATTCTCATATGAAACCTGCTCCTTTCTCTTCCTGTTCATGTTTTTGTGTGAACGTAGGTGGTAATGTGGCTCAATCAGAACTTCCTGCTTCCAGAGGTGGTCGAGAGTCCAAATGTTACATTTAATTCCCTCCGTGGAGGAGGACTCATGTCTTTTCATATGGCCAGTAACGGACAGGTAAACAATGGGTCTCTGGAAGGTCAAATTGGAAACATATGCTTTTCATTCTTTTCTCTTTTTTTTAGATATGTATACTGTTTTTGTCATTAGCTTGTGTATGTTGTTTTGCCATGATGTATTGTGTTAATTAAAAAAAGCATTTAGACTCTTAAATTAGCTCTGGTAGTTGCAGCTTTCAGCTTCAGTTTTCCAGAAATGTAATTTTTCATATGTCATATTCTTGCATTTTATGAATATTTTAAATATGGGGGTCCAGTCAGAAGTTTAGATCTGACTGGATCTAAACTTCATCATTGGTGTGATTGGATATTAATTTGGGGCTTTTTTAAAATGTATTTTAGTATTTTTTCCATGCTGGAATGATGATTCAAGATGCAACTCCAAAGACATTTAAAAACATACTTAGGGTTATTTAATCCACTATTAACTTCCACCTAATTGAGCTTCCTGATTTTTTTATCTTTTCCGTCAGATCACCCTGAGGACCGATGATATTGATCTAGCGGGCGATCTGGTCCAGTCCCTCGCCTCCTTCCTGGCGATGGAGGACCTGTCGGTCGAAGCAGATTTCCCATCATACTTTGAGGAGCTTCGCACAACGCTCACTGAGGTTCTCACTGAAACTGAGATGTTTCTTTTTATTTATTATTTGAAACATTTTTAGTTACAACAAACCCCAACTCTGCCTAAAAGGCTCAGTTGTTTCTAGTGTCAGTCGCCTATGATGTAAAGTTGAACCAGACACAAATCTCCAAGAGGATTCTGCTGCAGTATCATTTGGTTTTCATTTTCAGAAGTATTTTTATGTTAGTTCTACTTTTACTTGTTTACCAGCTGTTTCTAAAACAAATGAAAGCAGAATGCTGTTCATGCTGCTGAGTCGTGGATGTTTGTGCCACAGGTGGACGAGTTTCACTCTGTGCATCAGAAGCTGACTGCTGACATGGCCGACCACTCCAACTACATCAGAAACATGTTGGTCCAGGCAGAGGACGCTCGCCTCATGGCCGACATGTGAGCCACCAAAACACAAACTTTACATAAACTTGACTAAAACCGTTCATCTTAATACTACTGGCTTTGAAAAGTGCCGATTTTCTGCCTGAAATCATCAGCAAACATAATGTTCAACTGACACTGTTGTGCTTTCATCTGTAGGAAAACAATGAAGAAGCGTTACAGGGAGCTGTTTGATCTGAACAGGGATCTGATAAATGAATACACGATCCGTTCTAACAATCACAACGCCCTTCTGACTCGGCTCAAGTCTGTCAACCAGGCTATCCAACGGGCCGGCCGGCTCCGAGGTACGCCACCGCTGCGCTGTGACATTGCAAATGTGGACCCTAAACCTCTTCACCTCTTACCACATTAGAACCACAAACTTCCATTTGTTTGTTGAAGTTTCGTGTGATGATTAGTCCAACACAAAGTTGTGCAAAAGTGGAAAGAAAATTGTGCAAAGTTTCAAGATTTTTTGCAATTAAAAATCTGAATATTTGTGTTTAATTTTTTTTTCCACTCTTGTGCTGACTCGTTATTTGATAGTTTAAAGCTGATTTTGATAGAAGGAAGACATGCGGCAATGGTTATCAAACCCAAACTTCTGAATGCAGTATTTTTATTTATTTAAATTTTGTTTTAAATAAATTAAGCATCTGATTATAAATCCACGCCTCACTTTTCAGGTTGTTTTTTTTTTCTACATATGTTGGAAGCTGTAAATTGTTTCCTTCTTATTTCACAGTTTTGCACTACATTGTGTTGGTTTCTTACATAAAATCTCAATAAAATCAAGCTTGGTGTTTTGGAAACATGATAGAAAAAAAGTGAATATCTTTTCCAGACATTCTAAGTAACTATTCACAAAGACAGAAACCTGGTTTGGATTACATTAGCTAATATGTTAACAGATACAGTTTGGAGTTGGTTTTAAAAAAGAAAACTCTTAACAATAGAAGAAATAATTGGCTAATAGTTCCCACATCTTCTTGTTTTTATATATTTTTTAAACTATTCTTGTTTGTCCTCAGTGGGTAAACCCAAGAACCAGGTGATCGCCGCCTGCCGAGACGCCATCAAGAGCAACAACGTCAACGCGCTCTTCAGGATCATGAGGGCCGGCACGGCTTCTTCATGAGGACAGAGTGCAGGAATCAGCCAGCTAGCCGGATGTTGATGAGCGCTAGAAAGGACGACACACAAAATGTGCAAAAGATTGTAGGCGTTTGGGATAAACACTGACTCAGCCTTAAATGTAACGAAGCAGCACCACTGGGGAACACCTCTGTTAGGTAACTCAGAGAACAGACTTAGAGCTGCAGGTTAGCTGTGTGGCTGGTTAGAAAGGCCCGATGTAGTTCAGCGTAGCTTTCCACAGTCTTCTGTCTGACTGCATCTTTAGTTCGGGGTTAAATCTGAGTCTTTTAGCGCCGTTTCAGGTGATGGTGCACACAAAAAAAATGTTTAAGCTTCACAAAAAAGCCATCAGAACGTTTTGACCAAATGACTGTGCTGGATGTGGTCTCTGCTCGATGGAAGCAGCTGACGGAGACGGCTGCAGCGAGGCGCGGAGCTGCTGGCGCGGAGCTGTTAGCTCTCCCAGTCGTTGTCTTCTTTTTAGCCAAAGGAAATTGTGTGATGTTTCTGCTGGAACGAGTGTGATCGTGTGTGTATCTTGTTTACCTTTTGTAGATTGTTTTTGTGATTGATGCAGCGTTCCTATTAAATTTATTAATGTTTCAAATGTGTTTGTCATTTAGAATAATAATAATTTTAAATTATTCTAAACTAGAGCATCATTTATGAAACTGGGCAGAATACTGTGCAGAAGTCTGTTGATACTGTTTTAGCTCCTAATGTTTCTTTCAGTTTTATGTTGTTGCACATAGTTTAGAAAAATAAAACATAAGCACAGACAGTTTGAATATAAGAATCGAAGATTGCAGGGATGTTCTTTTTCATTGCAACAGTCAATCTTATGAAACAATTGAAAACAAAACTTAATTTATAGGGCAAGTCTTGTTTTCTCTGGCGCCACCTGCTGGTAGTAGGTCCCTAATAGGTCAGAGCTGAAGGATGATGATGCACCTCTCAGGTATTGTGTTTTTTACGGCATATTTATCTGTTCTGACACTTGCTTTGCCTTTCACTTTTTAGTTAATTAATTATGTAACAAACCAACATGGTTAGGAACATGAAAATGAATGAGAAAAGGTTTTCTCGGGGAACTGTTGATCAAAACAAATTTAAAAGATTGAAAGAAAGTGTGGCTGTTTAATGATAAGGAAATTAGGAGTTTAAAATGAAGATCCGTGTTTGTTTCCGTCTGTCATCCATTTTGCTTCCTTTTCAGGAGGAGATGTTCAGCCTGCAGGACTGCAGCAGACCAGCTGAAGTCATGCTGTGGGTTTTCTTTCTTGCTGAGTTGGCATCTGGATTTGTTCCGCTGAAATTTAAACCACATGGTCGAAGCAAAGAATGACGATGTTGCCTTCAGGAACCTGTGATGTTGGCTATTATCTCACACTGTCTACTGCACTGCACCTTTACCTTAAAAAAATCAAAATAACTTACAGCACTGACAAACAGTATAGCTGCTTTTTAGTGAAGAAGATATTCTTTCTTTAGTTGTTCCTACAGTTTCTGGTCAGTGATTCGCTACGTCGCTACGCCCCCTGGAAAAATTAACTGTTTAATAGTCCAAACGTGTCATGTTGCGTTCAGTCGTATGAAAAACAAAATGCGGCCACTTATTGAATTGATTTCCGGATTTGGGTTCATTTTGTTGCGCCGAATTGTTGAGGCAGAACATTTTTTTAGGATCCGTACCATCAAAAGGATCATCGTCATTTGCATCTAATATTTCCCTACTGCACGTAAACGCTTCATGAGCGCAGTACCAGCTCAGGCAGAACCAGAGGAAATTTCAGGTTCGGTTCTGCTGAAATCTTTGTGTTTGGAGAACGTCTGAGTCAGACTTTGTGTTTATCAGATGAGGATGTGGAGCAGAAAGAGATGCAGATGTTTTCTCTGGCCGCTTCCTCTGGTAAGTCTGGATGTTTTGCGGGATTATCGCTTATTTGACGCATTTCAGAGTTAAAATATTTGTTTCATGCGTGCACTTTTTTCTGTTTCAGGAAATATTACAAGTTGTTGGTTAATAGCTTACTTGTTAGGTTTTAATTTTTATAATAACAGACACCTACAGCAGATGAAATATTTGAACAAAACGATATTCTGGCGCTACTTATTGTATAAGAACTTGAAAGTTATGTAACTTTATGATTTTTTATTCATTACATTACATCTCAGGAACTGCGGAGAAAAGTCTGGCATTTCAGATTTTTCTCTTCCTTAGGAAAATTAGTCAAGTTTTTTGTATAACCTAGAAGCTAAACTTCATATCAATAGTTAAAACAAAAAAGAGGGAAATTCTGAATTTATTTTGTAATTTGCATTTCAGAAACAAATTTAAAACATGTCTAAATATAAAATAAAACAAAGCTGAAATATGAGCCATTTACTGCTCCATAGAAAGGGCTGATTGTCTTAATCTTGAGCCAAACAAGAAAGCTGTCAACTGAAACACTGGAGAAGAAAATTCATCAGGACAGAAAACCAGAAGAAATGTGCTCTGAAAACAAGATTTCAAACAGGAGAGGTCTGACTGAGTGAGGTGACATTCAGTGAGTTATGACTCTGATTTGGCAAAAGAAATGCTGGAATATTTGTTTAAAATGAAGGAAAAGAGAAGAACAGCAGCAGATTTCCACAGTTACTCTTGTTTTTTGGTCTCTTTCAGCAAGTTTTTTCTGCTGCTTTTATTTGAATGCGCTCAGTATGTAAATAAAATACATTTTCATCCTTTCCTAAATAATAAAACAGTTAAGCTAACATCCTCTGAAAGTTTTGTTTTTTAACCTTTCTTAGATTTTCAGAGCTTTTCAGCTTTTCTTTTCAGGAGAGATTACAGGACTGATAGAGGAAAGGAACAGTTGAGGAAAATCAGAGGTTGTGATACAAAATCTGTCATTTTTAACTGATTTTATGCTGATTCAGTATTGGTGTGCCGCTTTTGGTGTGTGTGTGTGTTTTTAAAGAATTTCCAAATTCAATGATGCGTGAGGATGGAGAAACCTGGGATGTTTACAGACTGACATGGCCGACGCCAAACTTCTGTCCTGCTGAAACAAATCCTCAGTGATGTAGAAAAAGCAGAGAGAGAAAAACAGGTGCATCATTTTATTAATTTAATGATTTATGCTAAGCTACGTTGTTTTTTTGTCTTTATGCTGTTGAAGGTTGGTCTGGTCACTAAAGGTTAGTGTGTTTGTGTTTCAGGTCAGAGTTCATCCAGCTGACTGAAGATGCAGCAGAGCTGAGAAGATGCTGAGGAAGGTGGTGATGATGAGGAGGGTCCTCCATGTGAAAGGAGATGTAATGTGCACACTCGTCCTCCTGGTGGCGCTGTGTTTTCTGCTCTACGCTCGTCAGGTGAAGAGGAAAATTAAACCGGTGGTGTTTTGAGGAGAAAACGTTCCTCCGTGTTAGTTTTGACCAGGCGGTGTTTCCAGGTCGTCCTCTCCGCTGCGTGGAGTCGATCCGTCTGGAAGCTGCAGATCCACGGATCCACCAGCTCCAGTCGCTCCCTGCTGGGATCCAGTTCACACACTGGGAGGAAGGAGGCGCTGCAGGCAGGAACTGACACATCGATACATCCGTCTGTCCATCTATCCATCCATCCATCCATCCATCCATCCATCCATCCATCCATCCATCCATCCATCCATCCATCTGAGTTTAATTTTTGGCTGCTCTCTGTACACGATGCAGCTTCTCAGCTTCTCTCATCACTACAAACCAAAACAGTTTTTTCCTCCTGGGATAATTATCTTAAAAAGCAGAGGAAGAAATTAGCAAACCGATCTCCTCATAATTAAAGCTTGAATCAAAAAAGATGAATCTTTCATCATTTGTTGTTCTGTTTTCCTTCCTTTTTGAAATCCAGTCCCCACTTCAGCCACAGCTGCCTTCCTGTAAACCCCGACTCAAGTCCAAACCTTCCCGGTCCAAATCCAGCCCTCAGATCAGATCCAGGTCACGAAAGAAGAAGGTCATTCCGACCGCGGCTGCTGGAAAACGGCTGCCGACTCTGCCGCCATTTGACTTCGAGAGATATCTGAGAGAAAAGGACAAAAGGAGCTTTAATCTGCTCATCGACCAGCCTGAGAAATGTCGCATCAGACGAGAAGAGGAAGGAGGAGGAAGAGGAGGCGCTGTTTCGGCTCCCTACCTGCTCATTGCTGTGAAATCTACTGCTGCAGATTTCGACAAGCGGCAGGTAGCAAAATTTTATGAGAATAGTAATATGTTGGTCAAGTTTTTGAGCAAACTTCTTAGTACACCTGAAATAAGACAAAAATAACTTAAAAGTAACTTTTTAGCAAGATATAAGAGCTTGTTTTAAGAAAATAATTCCTCAGTATTGATTAAAAAGTGCTAGTTCCACTGGCAGATTATTTCACTCATGGGAAAAATGTCATGTTATAAGTGAAATTATTGGAACTAGCACTTTAACAAAAATCTTTTATAAAAGTTACCGCTTTAAATCTATTAGTCAGATTTCTTTTGCAGCTATTAATTTTTCTCCTCACCCTGGCTCCAGGTTGTGCGTCGGACCTGGGGGAGGGAGGGGACGCTCCACCCTGGCTGGTCCGTTCGCACCGTGTTCCTGCTGGGGATTCCCAGAAATCGCTCCTCCCTGCCTCTGTGGGATCGGCTGCTGGCCTACGAGAGCCAAGCCTTCCAGGACGTCCTGCTCTGGGATTTTGAAGACACCTTCTTTAACCTGACTCTGAAGGAAACACATTTTCTGGAATGGGTCAACAGCAGCTGTCCTCATGTGAAGTTAGTGTGAATGAAAAAGGTTTAAATGATGATTATGTTATCCTCATCTGAAGCTGTAATGAACTGCGATTCCATTGACTATATAATTATTCAATCTGACATTTTGAAAATAAATTTGCTTAATGGAAAAACTCCAATTTCAAAAAACTCCAGAATCCATCATCCTCCAGCTACTTGTCTTTTCTTTGTGGTTTAGACCAGTGGTAACAGGATGTGCCAGGATGCTTTTTTTATGATTTATCACAAGAACAAACTTATTCAAGTGTGATTTTAATTGCATTTCCTCTTTAATGGAAACATATTGACAAAGTTTTGCACAAATATGTGGTGGTGATGCAGGCAGTAATATCCTTCTGCTCTCCCTCAGGTTCATCTTCAAAGGCGACGCTGACGTCTACGTGAACGTGGAAAACATCCTGGAGATGCTCCAAGACCGAGAGCCGGGGAAGGATTTGTTCGTGGGGGACATTATCATGAACGCCAAACCAATCCGCCGTCGCACTTCCAAGTACTACATTCCGGAGTTTGTGTACGGAGTCGGTCTGTACCCCAGTTACGCTGGAGGAGGAGGGTTTGTGATGTCAGGACACACGGCTCGAAGGCTGAGCGCCGCCTGTCAGCAGGTATGATGAAGATTAAAACTCCGGCCTGGGCCACTTACAGAGGTAAACGGGTTTTAAAAACAGGCTACCTTGTTATGCTTCCTTGAACAGGTGGGCAACACAAAACATGTTCATTACATTTTTTTTTTTTGCACTAAATCCTTATTAGATAAGATTTTCGTCTGATAAGTTCTGCCTATTTTGAGCTGTTTTAGGGCCTCTGTCACTTTAAATCCAGATCCCCTGCTGCTGGCCACATCCCCTCCCCCCACCCCCAAGTCAATGTTTAAACTCGGATGTGAAAATTGCTGCAAGCAAAGGCGCAATTATACAACCGTACATCTTTGAAAAGCATTAGTGGAGCCTCCTGCACAGCCAAAAATAATGCAGCAAGTGGTTTCTGGATGGTAAGCCAACATCAAATCACTTGTCTTTTCCAGCAGCCATTGTACAGCACATACAGCAGTAAAACCAGCTGAGCAAAAGAGCTCCAGCTGTACTTGGGTTGCTAGGTAACAGGGCAGAACTTTGCTGGGGTTGCTAGGCAACCCAGTTGTGTTTAAATCAACTTGTGTGCATTGGTTCATTTCATGGCTGAAACAATTAATTTTGATGAATTGGAGTTGCTGGAAGCAATACTTTGAGCAGTAATTAAGCCAAAACTGTACAAAAAATATAAACACATTGTTATGCAATATGTATATAAGATAAGATAAAAAAAATATCTTCTTTGCCTATAAATATGTTCTCCTCCTGAATTGACATCGTTGTAACTTCACCCAGTTCAAATTCTGTTATGAAAATTTCCCATGAGGCACATTTTATTATCCAGTTATTAAATGTTTAAATTATTAACCAATTAATTTAATTGTTTAATTTAATTGGTTAATGATAAGTTCAGCAGAAAGAGCTGAGCTTTTTCCATGTTGAAGTTAGAAGTATTTTTTTAGCTGCAGATTCATCCTTTGCTGCAAATGGTTAAGCATTCACGAAAGAAATATGTTATTGCATTTTAGGCAAAAAAAAAAATCTTATGTAAAAATGGAATAAAATTATTCTGACAATTAATCGGATTAGAAAGCACATTTTTCAGATTTTTTCTAACCACTATATTTTTTTTATATAATATTAGAATTATACTAAAAATGCAAACAAATAATTTATTACTACAATAATCACCAGTTGCAGCTCTAGTTCTTTTAATCAGTTTCTGTTAATATCTTGAACAGCTTTTGTTATGGTGTAAGAAATTACTATCTATTAAAGCAGACTTCTCCATCTTTTACTACTAATTCTCCGTTTTATTAGTTTGTGACTGATTTGTGAAACTTCTCCCAGGTGGAGCTGTTCCCCATTGATGACGTCTTTCTAGGAATGTGCCTCCAGCTGATCGGCGTCAAACCTTTACGCCATCAGGGGTTTCGCACCTTCGGGATTCCCCGACCGTCTGCGGCGCCACACCTCCAGACGTTCGACCCCTGCTTTTACCGGGAGCTCATGGTTGTTCACAGCCTCAGCGTCCCGCAGATCTGGCTCATGTGGAGCCTGCTTCACGACCCCAAACTGAGCTGCCACTACAGACCCGTTCAGACGTCTGGACCCTTTAAATGGAGAGGGAGGGTTGGAGAGTTGGCAGCAGATGAGGCGGATTACGGCGAGAAGCCAGTGTTTCTCACACATTAGTTCCTGCCAGGCGGGCAGAGCTGGAGCTGCTGGTATCGTGCAGCATTTGAGGACAGTAGGAAACGATTTTATCCAACCAAGCTGACGGTTTACCTGCCAGGAAATGAAAAGGCAAAGGGGAAAATCTCTCCCAGCTGACTCTGCAGCGAAACTCCCGGAATGTATTGTGACTGTGACCTTTGGGGCCGATCTGTCCCCAACTTATTTATCCACTACCAGAGGGAAAGTCTTTGATATGCAGATACGTTTATGAAAAGTGAAGGTTTTTTTGCACCACTGAATTTGTAAAGCTGCTGTCACACTAGCAGCGTTTCCATTACAAATGAGCCAAAACTTTAATTTCACAATTAGTTGTGTTTCTATTAAATAAGAAACACAATAAAAAAAAATCACACATGAATATGTTTGTTCACACAATAAGTCATTAAAAAACATCATCCTCAAACTAGTTCCTGTCATCATCTTCTTTGGGGTTTTCACCAGTAGTAACACCTGGTTGTTGGTCATGTGATGACAATAAAGTATTTCCATTTCAGTTTTGTGAAATAAACCAATTTCGATTGGCCAAAGAAACCACCTCACCCTAACGTTAAAACTTTTTAGCAAAAAAGTGTTTTTTTGGCATGTTTCCATTTAGCACTTTTACTTTCTAAATGTCAAATTGCGCAAAATGAAATTACAAAAGTTAATTTGGCTAATGGAAACACGCCATATTAGAAAAAACACTTTTGTTTTTCACAAAAACAAAAGTCGCAAGTTGTATTGACATTAGTTTACTTTAGAAAACTGAAATGGAAACTTTTTTGCATCACATTAGTCACATGATCAGCAACCGGATGTTACCATTGGTAGGAAAGACGAAGAGGACGACAGGACATACTGGAGGATGATGATGCGAAATTGTTTTTTTTTATTTTTTACATTAGTGGAATATTAAAGTTTTACGTACATTTGTAATAGAAACACGGCTACTGTCTTATATTTGTGAATCTAAAAATGCTTTTTACATGTAAAATTTGAGCACATTTTGTGAAGCGTTGCGTCATGTGGTGCTCATGTGTTTTACTCATGACGGGTCTGATTCCACATTGAAGAAGCAGCTGCACTGATAAAGTACTAGAAGTGATTATGCAAGGTCTGAATTTCAACATGAATGTTGCAAAATATTTCATGCTAAAGTGTCCAACTCACAGAAAGGCATCCTGGACAGTTATCAGATAACAGGTATGACAGCGTATCAGGACCATTCTACATTTAAAAACAAAAACAGAAAAATCTGAAAATTTTGGGTTTTTTAGAAAAAACAAAAAATTTCTGAGTTTTATAATTGTTTTTTATACTGTTTTGAAGATTAATCTCAAAATTTAGAATTTTTTTCAAGCAAATTTTCTCCTTTTCAAACTCAGAAATTTTTTTGTTTTCTCTAAAAATGTTTGAGATTAATCTCAATTGAGTTTTGTGGCGGACAGTTTCTCCTATTTTTTCTCCCATTTTTCTTCTGATGGAAACTTCTGACCAGAACTACAGTTGTCTGAACAAAAACAGAAAAACTTTCCATTTCACATCCACATTTTATTTTTCTGTTTTCATATTCTGGTTGTGCAACACAGAAAATAAACTCTGTTGTCAACAAACAGCGAGTAGCTTTGTTGAAAATTTCAACAACCATCAAAGGACTTCTGCTGCAGCAAAACCTTCAGTATCATGCGTCTCTTTGCACTACATGGTTTTATTGCCGTTTATTCATGGGACATGCTGGATGAATCTGCTTATTATTTCATATACAAAGTTATTCAAAATATGCATATCAAAAAAGCCACATTCCAGGGAATTTCACGTCAGTCTTAATTACCTGCCCTGCTTCCAAAAATGGGATTTAAAATATAAAAGTCATTCAGAAAAATATCATGAGAGCAACATTAGAGTCGAACTGATATCAGATTGCTCAACTGAAGCTTTACGTTACAAATAACAGCAAACTGTTCAATTTATATATATGTAAAAAAACAAAACAAAACAGAATCACACACAGCTTAGGGTCTTCATTTGTGTTTTTTTTTTCCATTTTAAAGATGACATATCCACCTGAGTTTGGGTGCGATTAAACTACCCATCAATCTAATTTAATGCTGGAGGAGAAATTTTTGCATTTCGTGGATGTATCTGAGCTACAAAGTGTCATAATCTGGATTTTTTTACTGCATAGAAGGCAGAACCTGTTATTGTGTTTAGAGAGACCATTACTGAGGGGACTGGATGAAAGAACGACAATATGAACGTTTTTTACTGATGTAAAGTAAAACAGGAAATAAACAACCATAAATGGTTCCAGCCAGACATGTTGGCTGGAATCTGAGAAAACTGTTCAAAACAATGAAAAGACAATTTGTCAAATGAATGAGAAGGTCTTGTACTTTTATACGTCACCTATAAGTGTAAGTAATTTAATCCTTTTATGAGCAATCATTTGCAGAACTGATTTTTTTCTCTGGCTGAACAAAATGAACGACAGATTGGATATCAGAGTTCTTAACTACGTTTCTTCAACATGTTGAAGAAAAATGAAAAACTGAATAACATTTTGACAGCATCATTGCCACAATGCAGCGAAACCCTCATTTAAAACACTGAATAATTATGGGAAGAAAAATGAGACGTTTGGCCTCTTATTGTATTATTCAGCCACAGCAGAGTTCGCTTAAATAAATTATTCTGGTGGTACATTTGTTTGAAGAAATAAAAGCTCTAGTGTCTGTGCTGCCAGAGTAACTATTTTTTTTTTATTTTGTCTTAAGTGGCAGTCATTTTATGTTTAGGTACATTGTAGATAGAAAAAACAAATAAAATAAATTCAAATAAATTTCTGTCCAAAAAATCCAAAATATTTCTGAATGTCTAAACTCAGAAAATTTTAAAAAGTTTAACATGTTTTTTTTTTACTTTTTTGACTTTTATGTTGATTTGGGGCAACAGAAAATAAATACGATGGCGTATTAGGGCCAATGTAGACAGGGTAAAAAGAAGGGTCAATTTACACAGTAAACTCAAAAAGTTTTAGATTCCAGAAATTTTCCATAAAAAGGTAAAGACATTTTTGAGCTCCAGAAGTCGAAAATATGCAGGGGAAAAACTCAGAAATTTCCAAGATTTTTTTCTAAAATATTCTCAGCTTTTTTACATATTCTGTTTTTTTTTTCCCCAAAAAATTGTGGAAATGAATTCCAAAATTTCTGAGTTTTTCCCCCGGCACATTTTCAACTTTGGAGCTCAGAAATATCTTTTCCTTTTTATGGAAAATTTCTGGAATTAATCTAAAACTTTTTGAGTTCACGGTGTAAATTGACCCTCCTTTTTACCCCGTCTACATTGGCCCTAAAACGCCATCGTATTTATTTTCTGTTGCCCCAAATCAACATAAAATAAATCGAATGAAAGTGAAACTCTCTCATTGAGCACCAGCAGTTTTTTAGTCTATTCAAGTTCAGTCAAAAAGCTTTGATCTTTGGACGGAACACCTGCTGGCTGATGAACAGGTTCTACCTTTTATACAGAAAATCATCCCCAGCACAAATGTTACACCTAGTGGCTAAACTAGGGTATTACATACAACACAAAAATTGCTCCCACAGACACTATCCCGCAGAAACGAACATCTCCAGCACCAAGCAAACAAAAACTGGGCTCATACATTCCTTTTCTCAATCTGAACTTGGAAAGATTTCCCCCAAAAAAGTTAAACAGAAAAAACATGGACACCATATATAAAAACTACGACACCTTAGTCTGTGTTGAACATATTTGGAAATATGGACATTTAGTATCTTTAATGCAACTAAATAAAAACAGGAAGGGACTCTTTAGAATTATTTATAAATGTAATAAAAATGCAGTTCCTGATAAAGAACAAATTAGGGCAAAAATATAAAATCTTACCAATTAGTTTTGATTTAGTTTCCTGTGCAAATATCGTAAAACACTTGAAATAAGAAAACTAATGAACAAGTATTTTTTTCTGCAAGATATGGCAATTTGTTTTATGTTAATAATGTATTAATACTGATGAAAAACTAGCAGTTCCACTGGCAAATTATTTCACTTATAACGACATTTTTTCCATGTTATAAGTGAAATAAACAGCCAGTGAAACTGGAACTTTTTCATTGATATTAAGAAATTATTTACTTAAAACAAACTCTTATATCTTAAAGGTTACTTTGTCTTAATTCCAGCGTGATATTAGCACTAGAAACTAGACTAATAGCTGGTAATATTTTGTGTTTTTGCAGTGTGGAGGTGAAGTGTGATGGTTTGCAGATGTTTTACTGCAGCAGCATCACCGGATGTATTTCAGCTAAAGGGGGTAAACGCTAGATAATAATGGGTGTCCTAACACTTGGTTTCTTTTGTTTACAATTACTTCTGTGAATATTTAATGTTTATGAATAACCAGATAAGTAATGGGTCCCTGTATTTAAATTTTTTTTTTTAGATTACTAATTTATTCAATTTCGCGTAGCGACAGAGGAAGACCATAACTAGATCTTTAGACATGGAGGCTGATTTTAGGCCTTTTTTATAGTCTTATAAAACTAAGGTGACAATAATATTGTAGATGTCATGAAAGCAAGACAAACAAATAAATGCATATCTGAAATAAAAGCAGAAAAATACTGAAAAGCCCAACCTGGGATTCTTTGCAGAAATGAGGAAAATAACTGGAACCATCAGCCCATGCAACAGGTTGATGCCAATACTCAATGACAAACACACACACAATCACCAATTCAATTAAAACGCATTCTCACGCAGAAAATCATTTTTACAGAGGAAAAAAAGATAAAAACAGGCTCAGAGGGAGATGAGGCACAATGTTTCATTTTTTTTCTTAGACTTTTTTTAAAAATACATTTTCTTCCACCAAAGTGAGTTTTGGGAAAATGTTTGACCACGACATGTATGACAGTTTCCACCAGAAAACATACCAAAGCAGAGATCAGATCAACTTTAAATATGGGAAACATAACAGAACCCCAAAGAGATATGTTGGAAGTGGGTCTTCAAAACCCAAAAGGTTTGTCTGAGAACCTGAACATCCAGGCTCACCCCGTCATCCAGATGGGGGCTGCGTCACGCAGCGAAATCAGACAGATATCAAACTTTGTCCAGCAGAGAATGATGTGTAAATGAAGAGTTCATGTGCTTCACAGAGACGTCCGTTTACTGGCTGCCCTCCAACGCTGACCGGCTGAATCAGCCGAGAGCAGAAACTGTTTTCTGATCAACTTTCTTCACAACATAGAAGAGAAGAAACCAAGTCGTAACAAAGAGGATGCCATGAAGAGCTATTTACAGCGTTTATACAGCTTCGCATGGACTCCACAACAGCTTTTCTTTTGAGAAACACTAAAAAGCATTTATTGGTTAGAAATCTAAACACTAAAATGAGTTTCTCTGCACTTAAAAATGTTCTTGCTACTTTGATCAGCCTATCTGGAAATTCACTGCTGCCTCAAAAGAAAAACATGCATTTAGTGGCTCTCAGATTATAGAAGTGTGAAAAAAACCTAAATAAACAAAGTAGTTTGGGATCCTTCAAAGGAAAAATCACAAAAACTATTCTGGAAAACATTTTGTTTGTGTAACGGCTCAGTGCCTGACAAAAACCACCTGATCTGTTCCACATTTTGTCTCGGTACAAAAAACAAACTTCTATCATTTTACTTGGTTTAATATGATGTAATAAAATAAGTGGGAAAAAAAAAGATACATGATTATCAACATTTTTCCAAATAAAATGCAATTTAAATATTCTCCCTTTACAGTGAAATCCTTAAATAAAACCAAGAGCAATAAAATACTTATTTAGTGAGGAGTTGACTGAACACTAACTAAAAATATATAATATATAATCTACAGTTTCAGATTTAACTGCTTTAATGCACCCGAATCAAATGATCAGCTAATTTGTGGGACTTTGTAAAATTTGATTGGATGCTGTGAAGCTAATTTAGCCATTTGATTCAGGTGTGACGGATATATTAATTAGAATTACAAAAATAAATTTGCTTAACGGAAACGTGCCAATTACTAAGTCTGTGATACGATGAGGTGGCTTTTCGGTAGTGCATTTCATAAAAACGGCACGAGTCATGTGATCAGTCAATGTTACTACAGGCGGAAACGACGAAGAGGACGACAGGAAGTGGTAGGGGGATGATGGCATTTCATGTTTAAAGTACTTGTAGCCTTTACAAACTTAATCACATGTGATTTTAATTGCGTTTCTTATTTAATGGAAACAACATAATAGCATTTTCCATTAGCAGACTGTCAAAGTTTTGAGCATATTTGTAATGGAAACGCAGCCGTTTTAGATCAAAGCATATTCATGTGTTGGAATGGTCCAGTCAAAGTCCAGGTCTAAATCTAATAGATCTGTGGCAAGATTTTAAAACTTATACTCACAGATGTCGTTGAAACAAAGAATAGCAGATTGTGTAGAGGCACAGTAAAGTTTGTGGTTGTAGTTTGACAAAATGTGGAAAAGCCCAAGAGTGTGGATTCTTCTTTGAAAGGCACAGGACTCAAACCAAATATTTTGTAAAAGCGGGAAAAGAAAAAAACATTTGCATCAAAGAACAATGAGAGAATTTGTCTATTAAAATGAATGCACAGTTTATTAATTAGTTTGTAATTAAAAACAAGGTAAATTTACACGCTGGGTGAAAGAAATGACTGATGCTGTTCACCATTTCCAAAACAAAGTCGGGTTTACAACCACAGAAATGACGGCTGTTCTCTACGTCACGGTTCACTGAGGACGTCGACCACGGTACGAGCTGACGGGAAACACGATGCGTCTCATCCAGAACGGATGAGCTGAGTCGGCTGGTCATGTTGGATTATTACTGAAACACGGATTAAAAGCTGTACCACGTCTTCAAATTAAGATGGAGTTAGGAATATTTGAGACTCTGCAAGACAAGAAAACACACCGATTAAATGAAGACTTCCTAAAAGGTCTTTGGCTTTAGCATTTGGCAACTAAACAGAGAGAGAACCGCAGATGGATCAGAAGCAGAATGGAAGAAAGCACTGAAGAAAGACGAAACGTTGTCGTACAGAACGCGACGGCGCCGCCGCTCATCTGCACCAACTCACACACCCACACACACATCCCTCCTACTCTTCAATACATATCCATCTCAAAGGATGGGGCACGATCAAGTAAAAATGTGTCTATTAGTGCAAATGTTAAAAACAAAAAAAGGAATCACAATAAATTATTATTATAACACAATGGAAATGGTTGTCATGGTGAGGGAGAAATGGGCTTTGGACGCCCAGGCAGAACATGCAGGAAGGTTGTTAAAGCTGCAGAATTTAACTTTCACAAAAATATGTTGTTTTTTAACATAATTAAAACTGTCACCATGTTGTAGCAGTTTGAGACAGATAATCTGTGAAAAGATCAATCCCAACGGAATCTAAAAATACAACCAATCAGTGTCAGGAGGAGGGTCTTAGCGCTGTTAATCAACATCGTGTACACGCTTTAGCAACTTACCATTCAAGGAAATCCATTTACCTGCCATTATCTGTGGCTATGCTAACTAGCTTGAGCATTTGTGGCAGGCTAGCAGAGAACAAGCGGAGGACGTGAGGGTAATTGACAGCGCTAAGACCCTCCTCCTGGCTCTGATTGGTTGTTCCTGATGGAGCTGTCAAGTTTTTCACAGATTATCTGTCTCATATTGTACTGTCACAACCTAATGATAATTTTAACAAATATGTAAAAAAAAAATATATATTTTTTTTTAAATAAAAGTGACATGCTGTAGCTTTAATCAACCGAACGAAGCGAGAGCGCTTCCTGTTGTGCTTTTTGGAGATCGCTTCTCGTTCAGAGTCATGCAGGTTGAGCTTGAACCGTCTGAACCGGCCGCCGCTCATCAGAAACGGGTCGGGGTTGAAATGATGGGACAGAACCGACTCAGCTGGGTTAAGGAAGTGTTTGGTGAGGGAAGATGGAGCTGTTTGGATCGGGTCAGGCTGGGTCTTGTGATTTAAAACAGAAATGGGTGCTTAGCTTGAAGTGTGTCTGGGCTCATGGTGCAGGAGTGGACGGGTTTGGCTGGGCCCAGTTCGGAGCGGTCTTGAAGCAGGAAGACGAGCAGGACTGACCGGGATGGCAGTGTGGTTGGCTGATGAAGTTTTATTAGTTTTATGTTTTCCTGCAGCGTTGATGAACCCGAATGCGTCACCTCACGATGGCATGAAGCGTCTCTGACTGTACAGGCAGCAGAACGGTCTCTGAGGTTCACAGGATGCACATTTTATAGCTTTCTTTTCGAAGCATGCGAGCCGCTCCCGCAGCAGGACCGGGTCCCCGCAGGACGGGGCATGTTTGGTACCAACAGAACCCCGGGTGCTGGTACCAAACAGGAGGCAGCAGGTCTGGTTTCACCGTCGACTCGTTCACTCTGAAGCACCTCAGCCAGGTTGTAGTGATTCTTTCAGGCCTGCTCAGGTAAAAAAAAAATAAAAATCTGGTTTCGGTTCCAATGCAGTCAGCAGAAGAGCTGTTGTTTGGGTCGGCCAGAATGGGGCGTGGTTCTGGTTCAGTGGGAACTAGTGCTGGACTCGGGTCGGGCTTGACTGGTGGTCCTGGGAGCTCCATAGAGGGTGACTGATGCTATGTGGTTGTTCTGCATCACCTGCAGAAGAAAACAGGGTCGTGTTAGAGAGACGGGATGCAGGTTCAGAACCAGCAGGTCTATTTGGGGCTTTTTGTTCCTCCCTAAAACCTGATCACTACTGGGATGGACTGACTGGAAACAAAACAGACACAAGTCTGGCAGACATCTAGAAGGCACAGACGAGAATTAGGACCACGGAAAAATAAACAAAATAGATAAAACTCTGACTTTAAACTCAGGACAGAATTTTTTTTCAGAATCAGAATTGATTAAATTGCTTAGGCCCCATCAGGCAAATTGGGTCCGAGTGTAGATAAACGGCAGGTTTACAAATCCTATAACAAGGAAGAAACAATTATGTCATTATTTTCATATATTAACAATCTGAATGTTTGGTTATATGTTTGGATTCTGACAGACAGAATCAGAATTATGACCTTAAAGGACAGTTTTATGTTTTCCAGGCACATAGTGCCATTTTATAGCCTAATCAAGTAACTATGTTAACTTCAGCTGTTGAAAAAACTCTGTATATATCAAAAATGTTTGTTGTGAAAGTACCGACCTCAAAAATCATCCTCTGTAGTCCGAAGCAGAAAGTGGAACCGAACGGGTTTGTGTTGTTGGCTGATGAAGACCTGTCAGGAATAAATAAAGACGAGAATTTCCTCTTGTGTAAAATATTACAGAATAACACCGAAGGAGCACCGTCACTTGACATACGATCCGTTTAAAGCCTTCATGTCATCCATACCGACTCCGTTCTGTGAAACCGTGACGGTGGGACCGTTTACCTGTGAAGGACGACGGGTTTTTCCATCGGATGGCCCAGAAGCTCCTGAATCTGATCCCACTGACGAGGAAACACAAAGACACCTCATCAAAACAGATTTTTAGAAATAAACACATGAACACAGCTGCTGACAATAAACAGAAAAAAATTCAGCAAACTGTCAATGTACCAGATTTAAAAGGTATTTAATGGACACAGCAGACAATCATTTCAGAGTCAGGATGCTTTGAAAACAGCATTACTCTGCACAAAAACTAATCACTTTAGCTTTGAAGGGTTATTAAAAGATAATGGTGATAAAAATGAACTCATATCAGATGTTTGATTAAGACATACAGTGACTACACTTTTCCTGGCTTGCAGCAGAAAATCTAAATGTGTCTGTTTGGATTTCCAGTCACAGTTCTGCCTGTCACTATAACACATTTTGTTGGATGATAAACTACAGCAATATTGTAGTTTAAAAAACAAAACAAAAACAAAAGAAAACAGGATACGAAGTTTAAAATCAAAATATCCAAACTTTGATAGAATCTGTTTTAATATTTCAGAGGAGGCAGAGTTTCATTTTTCTTCTCATAACTGACCTTGCTGTAGGTGGTTAAGATGCAATCCTCCGTCTGAGAGTCTGCTCCTTCTGAGGAGTCAGAAACAACAACAGGTTGAAGAAAGATCCCACTAAAGCACAAATACAGAGGTTAAAACTCTGACCAATCCAGGGACAGCTCACCTTTTTTGATGACCAGCGGGATCTTAAAGTCACATCGATGGTATCTGGGACAGCAGAAATAATCAATCACATCAAACTCCGCAACAAAAGGATTAATGTGATTAAAGTTGAGATATAGAAGAGCAGGTAACAAAATGACAAAAGGTGGATCTGACAGCAGGAAATATTTACATATTAAAGTTGTAATGCCCAGGGAAGTTCGTATGGAGGACAAACTTCTTAACCAGGTGGGTCGTCGAGTCAAACAGGATGTCCTGAAACACAACACAACCCATCGATCAGCTGCAGCCAGGTAACCTGTAGCAGAGGGTAAACGGAGACCAACGCAGCCCTGCAGCAGTGCTGTGCTGCTGTTTATAGCTCATCTCTGCAGCAGCCAGATGAGTTCAGCTTGTTTACTTTCCCAGGGCAGGATGCCCAAACCACTCCGGGGAATTCAGGCAGTGACCCGCAAAGGTCACTGGATAAACATCTGTTTGGCTCCGAAAATGACAGAGAGGGGCAACACAGGCTCATGTTGTCTAAAAAACACCGGCTGGGATGGTAGCACATTAAAATGTGTCGTTAATGCTACCCTGTGATTCATCGTAGGGCTAAATCAGATTAATAGATTATTGAAATAACAATAATTGTATTTTTAATATTGTATAAAATGAGTTAAAAGAAAAATGTGCAGAATGTGTTAATTTGTTTATGTGAATAATTGTCAAAATAATCTAGAGAATAAAATAAGTACTGCAACTTACATCTAATTTAATTAAATTTAATCTAATCTAATTACATCAATTTACATCTCTAAGTTCCCAGAATTACAACATTAAAACCATTAAATGTTTGGAGCCATGCTGCCAACATCTTGTAAGGCTGGACCCACGTACCACTCCGAGGGTGAAGTAGTTGAAGAAGTAGTCGTTACATTTAGAGGGAACCTGCTTGTGAGGAGACGGAGAGTGGATCTTCATCTAAACACAGGAAAAGGTGAACATTTTTATTTCAAGTTTCATTTTACTGACACAATGTGAATGCAACACAGATTGACAAGACTTTCTAAGGACAAACAGTTCTGACCTTGTCCTCAGATTTGTAGAAGACTTTATGCGGCGAGCCCAAAGCGCCCAGAACGTCCTGACAGGAGTCTCCAAAGAAGATGCTCCGCTCCAGGTACCGGACCTTAGCGTCAGCCATCACACCGAGTCCAGAACCTGCAGCAGGAACCGAGACAGTCACACAAATAAGTTACAAAAATGTTCTAGTCCTGTTTTTCTCAATGCTCAGTTTAATACAGTATCAGTATGATTAGATAATATGTCTATTAGAATATTTAATAAACAGAATATTCACTGAACTCCGACCCAAAACTGCACAGGTAAATGAAATGAACCAAGCAGGTTCTGTTACTGTTTATAATCAGAGTCCATTGAACTTTACTAGAAACTTCTATAAACTTTTATAAACTACAAAACTGAATTCCTGTTGTCTGCTAATCCACCTAACCCTATATATTAATAGGGCCAGTTTTAACTAATGGAATATTCCAAATAATATGGCTGGAAGAGTTTTTGCTCTTGGATGCTTCAAAAAGCAGCAGACTGACGACACTCAGTCATTTTCTTTCAGGTGCGTTACCTGCTGTGAGAAGGCGGAGCTTGAGCCCCAGAGGACCCGCCCCATCCCTCAGGACATCGACACACTCTGCAAAGATGTTGCCCATGAAACAAGCCAACGGCATCGCAGGAGCTCTGAGGAAACACAGGAAACATTCCAGTGTGAACTGGTTTGAAAACTTATTCTGCTGCTGCCTACTTTCTCCTGATTAGATTCGACATAAACGCATTAATGTCATCTAGCAGGAAGGTCGCTGGGCCACATGGAAGTGTTGTGGTCATTATGTACTTTGTTTCTTGGAGGTTGTTGCCAGTGTAGATGTGCATCCTCTTGACCATGGCTCCATGTGGAATCTGCAGGAAGGATGAAATAACAACACAGCTAGTGAAGCTGGCGCATCATGTTAAATGTTTACGAGGTATGAAAGATTGAATTCATAGCAAATAATGAATTTTATTTGTCCATTCAGGAGTTATTCTGACATGAAATGTCATTTTTATAAAATATGCCAGAGACGTAATGGGGACTGACATCAATGCATCTTGAGTTGGGACTGAGGCTAAAACAATTAATCGAATTAATCATGATTAATCGATCACAGATGGAATGGATTTATTTCAACTGAAGTATACAGACTTCAAAATGGTCATTTGCTGAAAGAATAAAACACTCAGCATAATAATTAAGCCAAAACTGTACAAAAAATATGTATATTTTGCATTAAGGTTAGAAAAAAAAAAGAGTAAACTAGAGGAATGCTACATTGTTGCACTTTATACAATAAAATGTTTATTTTCTTGTTAATTTGTTTACTTACATCTTTTAATGTATTTCTAATGTATAAAAATGGCTTAAGTGGTCAAATGTAGCTCCAGTTAACCAGTAGCAGAGGGTAAACAGAGATTAATGCAGCCCTGTAGCCTCACTCTGCAATCTGCAGTAATTTTTTAAATCTGATTTATTGATTAATTGTCAAAACAATTGAATACTAAAATAATCGTTACTTGCAGCTCTTGTTGGGAGATGTTTGGATCATGATTCTCAGCCATAAGATGCCACATTTGAACTAATGTTGACTTGTATGAAAACAGCCTGACACACAGCAGTTGAGCTCAGAGTATAGGCATTAAGATTCTTTCTTTCCTGGTGTTTTCACACCTGCAGTTTGGAAGATTCTGTTCCACTGGGGTCGAAAATTGCAATAGTATTACATTTTCAGTTACTGCTGTTCTCTTTCACACTGCACTGTGTCAAACCCTTTTTTCTTTTCTTTCCTTTTTTTTTTTTACAGTAATCTGTTCCCATCCTCCTCGCCTGTGGGGGCGCTGCACCAAAAACCACTGAAGGAAACAACACAAAAGCCTCTGAAGAAGACAAGGAAGACAACTTCCTTCTTCACAAAATGTAAACAAAAATGGAGTGACGTCAAATTTTAGCAGATGTAGGATTTCTCTTTTGTCTTTGGTAAAAGACCATTTACCCAGAATGCTCTGAACTGTAGTCCACTTCCTGCTTTTGGAGCGGTTTCCAGTCCGCTTAGTGTTCACATATGCATTCAAACAGCACCAGAGTTCATTTCAACCGGACCGAGACGTAGGTTTCTAGGCGTACCAGAGTTTGCCTTTTTGGTCCGTACATTGCAAAAACAAAATCTTACCAAGAATTTTTGTGTAGTTTCTAGTGCAAATATCTCGGTACACTTAAAAAAGACTAAAATAACTTACAAGTAGCAATAAATAGGAGCTTGTTTTAAGTAAATAGTTTCTTTAAGTTGATGGAAAAACACTGGTTCCACTGGGAGATTATTTCACTTGTAACATGTAAAAATGTCTTGCTCTAAGTGAAAAAATTCTGCCAGTGGAACTAGTACTTTTCAATCAATTTTAAGGAATTATTTATTTAAAACAAGCTCCTATAACTTCCTGAAAAGTTTACTAAGATATCTGCACTACTCGACCAAAAACGCTTGGTAAAATTCTGTGTTTGCAGTGCATCAGAGTTGGATCACAGCAGTTTAAACCAGAATGCACCTTAAGTCACCAGGTTCTGGTCTTAAGTCTTCTTTAACAGGCTGAAGGGAACCGATCCATTCTTACCTCGTATTTTGGAGCTTCATTCCACGAATCCAGTTGAAAGGAGAAGGAAAGTCCTCGAAAGTTGAGATGGAACAATTGCTCTGCAGCATTATAAACTGCACAAAAAGAGACAGTGTTCATTAAACTACATTAAAAGTTATTTGTGAATAAAATCTTTGTTATTAAGTACCTCCAGGGTGAGTCGCTCCAAATGACTGGTCTATTTGCTCTATTGTGGGGACGATGGCCTGAGAGTTGAAATGGACTCCACTAAAAGACAGCACACACAAACGCAGCATGTTGGGTCCGTTAGCATTCATACAGCAAAGAGCTGCGTTAGAGAAAGAACGACTGAGAGCAACTGGAAGTGGTTCAGCAGGAAGAGACAATAACAGAGGCCTAATCTAACAGATACATTAACACAAGCAGATTCAATTCCTGTGACGTGACTGAGCAGCTGTGGGTCTCAGAGAGAGCGATGACTGAGCTGTGAAAGTGGCCTTTTGGATTTTATAGCTCAGACTTATTACCAACCAACAAGAACGGCTTAGATATGGACGAAGGATGAAGCAGAAGTCCAACATTATCTATCATGTTTGTAAAAATCCTTCCACTCACCAGTACTTCAACTTGACTTTGCTGAGGTCGTACACTTCAATCACCTAATATGTAAAAGCAAAATCCAGCCAGGAATCAAGAGGCGGTAAGTGACAAAGGTCAGGGCTACAATGGGAGTTTGATATCTGTGCTAAATGAACCATTCTCACCTTGAGTCTCTGATTTGTGGCGTCAAACAGAAGTTTAATCCCATCCTGAGTCAGGTTCAGTATGAGGTCGTGGCTGAGTGGTGTCTGGAGGGATAATGGGAAATCCCGGTCATACTTTCTTCAAAACAAAAAAAAAAACCAGCACTGTTTTTTTTACATTTTTCTTGCTTTTTCAACCCCAGGGTCTCTTCCTGTGCATCAACTGGGTTCACAAAAGTAAAACTTTTTGGTAGTAAACTGTTTTTGTTAGTCGCTTCTTTCATCCAACTCATTTAAATGCACAAGATGTTTTTTTTTCTCTCACTGATTTTAGTTACAGAGAGTCCAAATTGGAAAGTGATAAACAATATAAATACCGGTGACAAAACAAAATGACAGCTACAAACAGACAAGCAATCCAACTTTAAGAATTATGCTAATTTTGTTTGGCTGATGCTTGGTGAACTAGTTATTATCTGGGTTCTTTGTTCACTGTAAACCCTAAACAGAAACACATTTAATTATCTGTTACATGATTATTGCAATGTTCACCAATCTGATCTGTGCAGATTTTACACATTTAATTGAATGACAGAAAGGAGAAACTGATGTTCACTGTACTAAAGGCGCATTAAATGCAGAAAAATTAAAACAAGGTTTCCTAAGGCATAATTTATAAGCTTCTTAGGCCTAACAATTTACAGTTTTCCTGCACTCTACATGTTTCTAAATGAACAGCACAATAAGTCTATGTGTGTCATAGAGTCACACAAGAAGCTTTAACTTAACTGAAATGATTCATAGGTCAGATGACTAAAATTGGAATGAGAACGTGTGCACAAACAAAAAACTTAGATAAAAAATTATTAAAACCACCTTTAATATCAGTAAACTGAATGCTGGACAATGTGTTTTTAAGGTAGGTGTGGCTTACAGTCTTACCAAAGATTTAGTTTCAAAATAAATCTTTTCAAAGTGCAGAAAGTCTGCAAGACGTCCAGAGCTGCCAAATTCTTTTGCAAGCTGATTAACATTTTTTAAGGTTACACAACCAACAGAGGCCGTATGAGCAGAGCTGCAGCTGGCTCACCTGTTCGCTGTATAGCACCTGGACATTTTTGATTATACGGCAGTGTTTCTGGAGGATAGAGATGGCCTGGGAAAATGGCATCCCTGTGAAAACAAAGACATGCACACGTAAGAGGGGAATACAGTTACAAAGTCCTGAAAGTGGAGTCATCCCACTGCTGCTAATTCAGGTCATTCATTAGTTATTTCAAAGTAAATTTAATCTCAAGGTACTTTACTAGACAAGAGCAATTTATACTGAGGTGTACAGAGACAGACAGGTACAAACAGGTACATTAACTTAACTGAAAAGTTCATTTCTTTAAATAATTCAATTCAAAAAGCAAAACTTGTGTATTATATAGCCTCCTGACACACAGAGTGATACGTCAAGTTTAATGACAGGTTTTGGTTATTACAGCTTGTAGATTAAAACTCCCAATCCAGATTTTTTAAAAATTACAAAACATGAGCCAAATTAAAATAATAAAAAAAAATTAAATCTGATGAATCGCCACCAAACTACTGAATAGGAACAATGCTCAAGGCTCCAGTTATCCCTGTCACATCTGCATGTTTTTTTTTAACTCAAGTTTTTCCTTCCACTTAACTTTTCATACAGCATTCCATGAATACAGATTGTCTTCAACATATTGGCTTACCCACATTCTGGACATAAGATTGTCCACTACACCAGCATTTCCTAAAGTTTGGGTCACAAATAACTGTGAGGCCAACTAACCTAAATAAAATCCCAACAATAAAGCAGAAGTTTTCTATAAATGTAAAAGATTTTTTTTTAAATTGGCCTTGAATAAAAATAAGAACAATATATTGGTCAATACAATGTCTGCTGAAAATGATTTTGTTTATTTTAACAAAAAATGTGCATGCTCAACCAGAAGTCATTTTAAATTTGAGGATCAGAAGCTGAAAAGTTTAGGAATTTATATACTAGACAACATAACACTTTTCTATTAAAAACCTTCTATACTTGTTGTCACCTTCCTGAAATAACAGCCTAAGTCAGTTTTTGCCAAAAATATTTTTTTTGGCTAAATCATCTTTTTATGATAAACAGTTGATTTTTTTCCCCTGCAAATGTAATTTTTTTTGGCAAAAATGACATCACCATTATTTTAGGAAGGTGACTAAATACAACTTTCTAATTTTTCAGGCAATTATCACAAATTCACAGAAATAAGAAAAATCACTCTGTGGGTAATAAGACCATTTTTAATTTCTCTTTTGAGTTAAATTATGTAAATAATTTATGTTTGTAATTTATCCTAATTTATTGATACAGTGACATTGTCACATAACTTCATCCTAACTGGTTCTAAAGTTTGACACTCACCTAAGGCGAATTCCCATTGCTCATTTCCTAGTGATCTCTCAGGCACCACCTCCAGATCCAGCATTGGCAAGTAGTGTGGGGGCAGCTCACCTCACCTCAAGACTCTGTGGGACCCTGCCTCTGTTTCTGCTGGCTCTTCCTGATCACAGCGACTTCTCAATGCACGTTCAGCGTCCTATTTTAAATCATAACTATCAACTTTTTTCACGTAAAGCTACCAAATTCATGAGCATCAAAGCGGGTCCTTCCTTATCTCATGATATTTGTCCGGGGTTGTAAATCAGCTACAAAGAAGAGGTATAAAAGTGTTTAAGATTTTTCTACCTATGGAAAAACGGTTCAAAACATAAAAATAGCAGAAATATCCAGCACGGACTGACAACTTGCTGATAAACAAATGACGCAACCTGCCAGCAAACCTAAAACACACAAGACGAAGCTGTCAGTCAACCAACAGTTTGTTTATGAACTCTAAAAATCAATAAAGACAACCTGACACGCTGCAGAGCAGAGATCAGTTCAACTTGTTCTGGAGCGGTACAACAGATGGTACAGTGGAAAATAAACGCATATCAACTCTGATGATTATTCTCTTTCCAATACAGCCGCTATGTCTCGTATCTGTGAATGTCGGGCGGTTACGAAAGGGGGGAAAAGATCTAAAAATGTTTTTAATCTGCACTGCAAGCTAACGTTAGCCAACCAATTAGCTGCCCGTGACGGTGTCCTGGTTATTAATTATAACTATAAAAATAAATAACGGATATGCAAACAGAAATACTTGAGTCAAGCGCGAGAAAGTTATTATCCTGCTTGGGATTGAAACAAAGAGACGGCGTGTGCTGTCGCTGCTGTTTTTCTCCCTTCAGCTCAGGAGCTAGCTTCGCTGCTGCCCGCCGGGGACGCACGTTCAGACTTCCACACGACGTGACGCGTCCCTTTGGCCGGTAAATGGCCGCTGCCGTGTCCGTTCCTCAGCGTGTCACCGAGTCCGTTAATGTCGAGGGGCCGATGAGAGAGAGACGCAGCGACAACAGCAACTTCAGACATCAACAACAGCCAGCGGGATCAGCTGATAGCTCTACTTCCTGTGCTCGGAGAACGTCATAGGCTGGCGTGATGACGTCACTCGCACGTTTCTATGTGTGCTTTTTTGCGTAGGCAGGAAAAACATAAACATATCAGTCGTAGCCCCTGATGTAATGTTGGGGGGGGGGGGGGGGGAATGTTTACCCATAAACCTCTGAAAAAATACAAAAAAAAAAATTATTTAA